AAAAAAAAAAAAAAAAAAAAAAAAAAAAAAAAAAAAAAAAAAAAAAAAAAAAAAAAAAAAAAAAAAAAACCTAAGAAATTGTGTAATTTGTGTCGTCGTTGGCAATTTCCGAAGCGTTTGAGATTTGATTAATTTTGGGAATGAATCATAGAGGCGTTGGCTTTCTAAAATCACTCATCTCTCTCCTCTCACTTCCCCCTTCTTCCGCACTTCCGATCCCTCCACCTCTTTCATCCCACTGTGTTCCGCACTGCTCGCAGACCCTCGCACTACACAAGGTAACTCTCTTTAGCCCTCTCTCAATCTACGATTCCTCACTTTAATTGCACGCCTCCATGTTGATTGATGCGGGAGCACTTGCTTCCGACTCGCTCCGTTCATTACAATTCTGTATTTCAGTTCCTAGATCTCTCTTTTCTTTTCACGCAATGCAACCTCCGATTTCATGACTTTCCCGGAATCCACAATTGGGTGTTGGTTCTTTCATTTTCTTTTTCTTCCAAATCTTAGTTTCCTCCACTGCAATTGTTTGACTTTCCCGGAATCCACAAGGTCATGCTTCCTCGATGTCCACCGCCTTTGAGCCTTGCCTTCGGAGATTCTTCTGTTTACCAATAACAACGAAGATGGAATCTTGGAGATTCTTCTCGTATTCTTTATGTTTTTTTCCCCCGTCGGTAATTTGAATGCGCTTTGGCGCAGAGTTACCAGATGTCTGACTGTTTAGTAAGATTTATGTTATGGACGCCCTTAGTATTGCGCATTGTTTGTCAATTCATTTCTCTATTCTCTAAGAATCGTCTTGATTATTATTGTCTTTTCCTTTTCCCTGTGCTTGACAGGTCTGCGTCATGCTAGCATCCCATTAGCTTAAAGGGTGTGAGAGTGCGACGATAGAACCCATGGGGACTGAAAATCCTGCTCAACAGAATTTTCCTGCTAGACCTGCCGGCACACCTTTTACTGCCACTCAGACCACGTCACCCTTTTCATCCTCTGGTCCTGTTGTTGGATCAGACGCCACTCGTTTTAGACCCGCCTCTCCTGCTATGCCACCATACACAATGCCTTTTCCTCCATCCTCTGCTCCTGCGGTTGGATCAGGGGTCCCTGGGTTTAGACCTATGCAACCAAGTAGGTTTTCTGATCCATCTGTTCCACCACCTCCAACATCAAGCGTTCCAGCAACTACTGAATCTTTCCAGCGTTTCCCAGCTCCACAGTTCACTTCACCATCTCAACCACCTCCTTCGCGAATACCACCAATGGGGCAAACCCCTGCAGCTTATGCGCCACCTCCTCCAGTTTCCTTTCACCCGCATACTCAGATTCCTTCAGTGCCTATGGGATCTCCTCCTCAAAGCTTAGGTCCTCCTCCTGCCCATGTTCCGCAGCCTATGTCAGATCCATCTTTTCCATCAGCAAAGCCTAATTTTCCGCCCTCTTTGCCTGGTTATGTCCATAAGCAGCCTAATGCAGATTTGCAGTCCCAACCTCCTCTTGTTAGTCACCAAGGGCAGTATGTTCCTCCTTCAGCACCTGCTTCCCCTTTCCTTAGTCACCAAGGAGGTTATGTTCCCCCTCCTGCTGCTGCAGCCTCACAAGGTTTGCTGTCTACAGACCAAAAGCACTATCCAGGCACTGGACTGCCTCTTGGTTCCATTCAAGGATTAGCCGAAGATTTCAACTCGCTTTCTATTGGATCTATTCCTGGATCAATTGAAGCAGGAGTCGATCCAAAAGCCCTTCCAAGGCCATTGAATAGTGATGAAGAGCCTAAATTTGTTTCCGAGATGTATCCCATGAACTGCGATCTAAGATATTTACGTTTCACAACCAGTGCTATACCCAGTTCCCAGTCACTAGTCTCAAGGTGGCATTTACCTCTCGGAGCAATTGTTTGTCCACTTGCAGAAGCTCCTATTGGGGTTAGTGTCTGGGTAATATTTTGATTTTTGTGCATGCTAAAGTTACCTTATTAATTTTCTCTTAATTTTTAGGAAGAAGTGCCCGTTGTCAATTTTGCTTCAACTGGCGTCATCCGCTGTAGGAGGTGTCGCACTTATATAAATCCATATGCCACATTCACAGATGCAGGAAGAAAGTGGCGCTGCAACATTTGTTCTTTGCTGAATGATGGTATGAGGAATTATAATTCTCATGGCTCCTGGACACTTGAATTAGAAATTTACCTATTCCAATATGCAGTCACAGTTTGTTATTTGGAAGCGTAGTACATCGGAGGAATATTTTTATGAGTCAAAGTTATGTCCTTTCCTGTGAATTTCTGCCATAGGCTTTATGCTGTATAAAATTTTCTTATTATTTTTTTCCTTCTTTTTCTTGGACAAACAAGTTGGTGTTACTGTAGAACTTGAGCGTAACATTCACTTCATTTACTGCTTTCGTTTTTTTTTTTTTTTTTTTGGAAGCAGAATATATACCTATTTGTATTATTTTCTGGAAAAAATTTTCATTTCTTTTTGTATATCACTATTTCCCCTGTTGGATTATACTCATTTACGTTGATTCCTTATTCAGTTCCAGGAGACTATTTTGCCCATTTGGATGGCACTGGCCAGAGAATTGATTTGGATCAGCGACCCGAGCTCACTAAGGGTAGTGTGGATTTTGTTGCTCCAACCGAGTATATGGTTCGGCCACCTATGCCTCCACTATACTTTTTCCTTATCGATGTTTCTATATCTGCTGTTAGAAGTGGGATGTTAGAGGTAAACATTTCTATACAATTGTTACTATTATTATTATTAGTTTTATTTTCTTCATCTTCTCCTTCTCTTTGTATATTTTCTCTTAAGAATTGTTTTTTCCCAAACTAAAAAAATGTCCATAATATGAAATGAAGGTAGCTTTTAGGTTGGCGTGGAAGTTTCTTTGGTGAAAACTTATTGGTGAATATATTGCCGTCCTAACTGGTATTCATACCTTTATTATAACCAACTCAAATGTAAACCAATAACAATTAACGGTCAGTTAACTGTTTAAAAACTAACAAACAACCTAATGACCTACTAACAAGCAACTCATGGTCCTAGAACTCATACTAGATCCTTTTTATATTCTATTTTGGTTAATCAAAGTTAATGCTTTCAAGGCGCACTCAGGTGATTTGCCTATGGCAAAGGACTGGGAAGTGCATGCCTTTGATTGATATCCTAGGTGAGTGCCTCCAAGGTCCTTGCCATTTGCTCCAGTAATATTTATTTATTACTTTATTAAGAGCACCTTGCTTCACTTGGGCAACATGTTTTCGTTGCTTCATGCCTTAACGCAATTAAGAGGACTATTGTCTTAGGGTGGGTCTTAAGCTTTGTTAACACTGACCAAAATTTATTTTTGTTGGGTATAGAAGACCTTTGAAAGAGATGATCATATAATGCTTAGACATTGAGTTGCTGGGAATTTTTTTTTGGGTTAACAAAGAAGAATCTTCTTCTCATTAAAAAATAAAAAAGAATCTCTTTATTATCAATGTATATTTGTCATTTCTTTTATATAAGAATCTAGTTTATTCATCAATCTTGGTTAGAATTGCATTTTATTCTTGAAATTTTGCTGTTTTCTTTTGTTCTTCTCCTTTGCCCGTTTTCTCTTTCCGCTTCTTGTAACATAGTCTCCTCTTATTTGGCACACTACTACCTACCAGTTTCAATAGTCTCCTCTTATTTGGCACACTACTACCTACCAGTTTCAATAGTCTCCTCTTATTTGGCACACTACTACCTACCAGTTTCTAGGTTGCCTTGTTATTTAGCCGTATTTATGCCTTGGCCATAGTTGTGACTCATTTAATAGGTAATAGAGTTAGGTAGTTGTTCTCTCATACCAGGCTTTGCGGGTGAAAGTTTGCTCGGGTATGGGTTGGACATAGATTCTTGTAGTTAACTTTCTAGCATTTTCCCCTTTTGGTGGGTCATTGTGAGTGGTTAGTATGAGAAGGGCAGAACCTTGCAGTGTTCGTAGTGAGACTCAAGGCTTGGAATCAATTCTCTTTTTTATTTTTATATTATATTTTTACAAAAAAGGAGTCATTCATTGATTTAGTGAAAAGAAACAAAATATTGATGGAGTGAAGAACAAAAAATGGAAATGAGATAAATCTTTGGGGTATGAAAGCACCCTAATTAATAGAGTTCCCAGCAAATCCCTAAGACGAACAGATATGGGCCTCCAATTCATGGGGCAAAGGGTTGAGATGGGATTTTCTTGTAGAAATGTGAAGCAAAGTTCCCAACTTTTGATCCATAATTCACAAGAACATCCCTTTCAAGATTAGTTTACCCTTGTGGTAATGTTTTTCATTGGGCATACTCTCGAGTTTTGAGGAGGGTTCCCAACTTTGTGAGGCCTCTGTATTGCATCCTCGGGGAGGGTGTTGGAGGACCTGGAAAGAAATAAGAGAGTTTTAAAAGATATTAAGAAGTTATGGAGGAGATTTGAGGCAAGGCATGCTTCAGTCTTATGGAATTGAAAGAGTTCATTAATCTAGCACAGCTTAAGGAGAATTACATGAGTACAGACTTTCAAAAAAGTAATTGAGATTTGTGGTCTTTAGATGCGTGAAATACCTTTGTCTAGTAGCAATGTAAAGTGTTAAGTGGCCTTACGGTGATCAATCTTACCACTTCAAAGAGACTTTTGTCCTAAAATCTTAGGGATATGAAGTTTGGTTCTTTCGCAATGAGGTTCATCACATCTATGTGAAGCTCTAAAGACATTACTTTTGTAAATGTTGAATCAAATGGTCGTTTAGGAAAGCAAATTGAAGATTCTAGAAGTTCCCAAAGGAGGTTATACACTGGATCAAAATTCCCTTCCATATGATCCTTTGAGATTTTTTCGGGCCTCAAAGGAGCAAGTTTACATTTATGATGGTTTGAAGGTTTGAAGTAGCTAATGGTAGTGGAAGCCTTATTCATAGCTTCAACAGTTGGTTGCAAGCTCTCAATGTCCTTGCGCAACTATTGGATTAGTTCTTAGTTCTTAGTTTTTTTCATTTTTATTTATTTTCATGGCTAATCTCCATATGGTTGTATTTTCTAGCTTTGTTTACGTTCTCTCTCGATCTTTAGGAGTTTTGTTTTCCTTGAACATTTATTCCTTTTCATCATATCATTTGAGAGCGTGTTCCATCAGAATCAATACAATGATAACTAACTTTTCTTCTTTAACTCCCTTACTTATATACTCCTACCACCCAACTACTCACACGTATTTTTTCTCAACATAACTGATTCCCATCCATGCATACCCTTCCTCTCATCAAAAGTTTCTTTTATAGTTTTTCTTCATCTTTTATTCTCAACGTTGTTGCAATTTCTTGTTATTTTGTTTCTGTGGTTTGCTTCTCGTGGGGGTGTACTATCATTTATCTTCATGATAATTGGTTTATTGCTATTATTTTTTCTAAAATTTGATAAAGGTCTCCCGGAAGAACGTATTGCTAATACAGCAGTAGTTATTGAGGGATTGCCAAACAGAGAGCGCAAAATTTTCAGTATGTCATTTTTTTTTTCCTTTTGCAGGTCGTGGCACAAACAATTAGGTCGTGCTTGGATGAGCTGCCTGGTTCTACTAGAACACAAATAGGTTTTGCGACTTTTGACAGCACAATACATTTTTATAATATGAAGGTAGAAAATATAGGTTCCTATTGTATATTATACCCCAATTTTGATACTTCATGCTAAAGGTTCCATTTCTCTTGCAGTCGACTTTGACTCAGCCGCAAATGATGGTGGTTTCCGATCTGGACGACGTATTTGTACCTTTGCCAGATGATCTCCTTGTCAACTTATCTGAATCAAGAACTGTGGTTGAGTCATTCCTAGATAGCTTGCCGTCTATGTTTCAGGACAATGTGAATGTTGAATCTGCCTTTGGCCCGGCCCTTAAAGGAGCATTTATGGTTATGGTGTGTTATTTACACTTTTTAAATCAGTCACCACTGTCATATTTGTATTTCTAGTACCATTATGCGATCATTGTTATTTCCTTGTCATTCATCTGTAATTATAATATAAACATGTATATAATATTGTAAATTCATCCGTTATCAAAATTATCTATAATAAAGAATTTATATGACCATCGGTTTATCTGTTCATTCCACCCTCTTTGCAGAGCCAACTGGGGGGGAAGCTGTTAATTTTTCAAAACACACTTCCATCTCTTGGTGTTGGCCGCTTGAAGTTGCGTGGAGATGATCTTCGTGTTTATGGAACAGACAAAGAACACTTACTAAGACTGCCAGAGGATCCATTCTACAAACAAATGGCTGCTGAATTTACCAAGTTCCAAATTGGGGTGAATGTTTATGCATTTAGTGACAAGTATACAGATATTGCTTCCTTGGGTATGCCTCAGTTTATCATCTCTTATTTATTTATTTTGGAAAATCTTTCATTCCAAAGATCAAGAAGAACAGTCTAACGGCCAAGGGACAAGAAGTCTCTTCATATCATCTATGGTAAATGTATTTGTGGTGACATGATTGAATCTGATTCTTAAGAATTTACTGGGGGCTGTCCTTACAAATCTTTTTTTCCCCTTACAAACACATTTGACTGGGGCCTGCTATGATTGTTGGTGTTTTTTTTTTAAATCACCTCAGCATGCTTTGAACATCTTAAAATTATATATATATTTTTAGTTTCTTGGGTCTAACTTTGAAGATCATTGTGGTCACTTGTTTTCATTTGGGAGGATCTGATTAACTTATGGAGCTTTTTATATTGCCATGTTTCATCTGTGAACAATGAGGCTTAATGATTATTTGTTTCTTAAGCAAATAGTTTTTACACAATAATCCTGGTGCATTCAAATTTATTATTTTAGTCAGCTTCTTGGGGAAACTGAAATTTTATGTCTACTTTTTATGTTTGCTGTCTCTCATTTAGGTTACAACTTAATGTTTGTTATTTCCTTCTTCATTTCTTTAATTACAAATTTACTGATTATTGATATAGTTCTGATGGCTCTAATGACAATCCACACAGTCCCCATCTTTATCTTTTTTATTACATGACGTGTAAATGTTGCTTCTGGGGCTTTGAAAATTTATTTATTTATTTTTATTTCTCTCTTGTATTAGGGACTCTGGCGAAATACACTGGAGGTCAGGTGTATTATTATCCAGGCTTCCAATCTTCCAATCATGGAGAAAAGTTGAGACACGAACTAGCAAGGGATTTGACTAGAGAAACTGCCTGGGAAGCTGTGATGCGTATAAGATGCGGAAAAGGTGATCTTTTCCTTTTAAATTAGTTCTCATGGAATGCTCGTCTTCTTCTTCACTCACATGTCAACACTTCTCTCATTATTTTTGTTTGTTCTTTTAGGAATCCGCTTTACATCGTTTCACGGAAATTTTATGTTAAGAAGCACCGATTTATTGGCACTTCCAGCTGTAGATTGTGATAAAGCGTTTGCAATGCAAATTTCTTATGAAGAGACCTTACTCACAACTCAGACAGTGTACTTCCAAGTTGCGTTGCTGTATCCTTTGAGTAAAATGTTCCGGATAACACCCATCTATTGTCTATTAATTCTCCTAATAGTTGCCATCAATACCATCAGCTGTTTATGAAGTAGGTTTTCAATGTTAGGTTTTAAATTTTCTGAATCAGTTATATTCATGCTTTTTTTCATAGAGTTCAGTAACTGTAACCCAGGTTTGCATATTTGAGAATGAGTATCAGCTAGATTTCAGAGTTTCTCTCTAGTTTTGTGTATAAGAATTTCTCTTTTGATCTGTAGAGTACAGTCATGGTTTCTTGATAGATAGAAATACACAATCTGTATCCAATCATAATCAGCTTTCTTTCTTTTTAGGAATGCTCTGTCATAATTTATGAATGTTGATTATTCAATTTACAGGGTACTGAGTAACCTTTTTTAGGCATACAAATAAATTCATATGTTACACTTTACTTCTGAAAAGTTACCTTAATAATATCAAATTTTCAATTGGTAATGAATAGTTGCACATTGACCTTGATCGAAACCAGTAACCACATGAAGATTGTAAGTGCATGAAACTGTTGTTTTCCTCATGAGATTGCTTGTTTTTCCTTACCTAGCACATGCATTTTCTTTGGTCTTGATTTGGTTGAGTTCAATGATGTCTCCGAGATTGGTGCCTAGGGAAGGCTTGCAAAGTGAAAATTGACTTATTTTCTCCTATTTTAAGGGTTCTACCAATAAGTTTGTTCCTTGACGATATAAAGATATACTGCTTCTTGTGGAGAGAGGCGTATTAGAGTGCATACAGCAGCAGCACCTGTGGTTACAGATCTGGGTGAGATGTACCGCCAGGCTGATGTTGGTGCCATTGTTTCCTTGTTTAGTAGGCTAGGTATGTTAAGCACAAACTTCTTTGCATGCCCATGTGTGATTTTGATAGTCTCAATTGTTAAAATTTACTTTCTGTTCACTTTATTAATCTCTCATTCTAAATTCTAACTGAAACAACTTGCAGCAATTGAGAAAACACTGTCCCATAAGCTGGATGATGCACGCACTTCAGTTCAACAAAGAATCGTTAAAGCTTTGAGAGAGTACCGTAACCTCTATGCTGTACAGCATCGCTTGGGAGGCAGAATGATATACCCAGAGTCTCTTAAGTTTTTGCCTTTATATGGATTAGCATTGTGCAAATCAATACCTCTTCGAGGGGGTTATGCTGATGCTGTGCTTGATGAGCGATGTGCATTAGGCCTCACAATGATGATTCTTCCTGTTAAAAACCTATTGAAGCTTTTATACCCCTCATTAATTCGACTTGATGAGTATCTATTGGAGGTCCGTTTCAGTTATATAAAAAAGTTATATATTCTCACTCAGTGATTTTTCAGATTCTATGGAATTTATTCTACTTTAACTTGCAGGCATCTCCCGCTCAGACTATAAACCTTAATAGCATAGAGAAAAGGTTGCCACTGACTGCTGATAGCTTAGATTCCAGAGGCCTGTACTTGTATGACGACGGGTTTCGCTTTATTGTTTGGTTTGGTAGAGTGCTTTCACCTGATGTGTCTATGAATTTACTTGGAGCAGACTTTGCAGCAGAATTATCTAAGGTATCTAGTAGTTTTACAAATTAGAGGAAAGAGGATTTGAATCAGAAGAAGTTGGCTTAGGATAACTCATGTTTTCTTCTTTGTATTTACTTTTCAAAACTAGAAGAAGCCTGAAATAGGCTTTTTATAATCTTCTTTGAGCAATAATGTTTTTGGCCTGAATTGAAGTCCTAATTACGATTTAGGCGTGCTATGAATGATAGGTTTCTTCTTTACAATTTTTAATATTGTCATGTTTGAAAAGGAATTTCTTATATGTTTCTGTGCAATTATTCCTGTTGAACTGAGAATTATTCTGCCCCTTCTATTTTCTTAATGTTCAATTAATTAACTTAGTTGTAAATTGCCTCTCTGGTGTTGGTAATGTTTTTTTTTTTTTTTTTTTTGTTGAAAATTCTTTTGGGTGTTGCCTTTATTATTCATAGCTTCGGTTTTTGAATTATGAGTATGGTCCTGAATTACATATTTGTATCTTCGTTAAAATTCCTCCGTTGGGGTTTTTATTAGTTCGGTGGTAGTTTCAATATGATTGGAGCTGATTATTCTTTTTCCATAGGCCGTGTATAACATTGTGGATGAATTGATAATGTCTTTATTTAGTTGTTCATGAATTTCATACTGGGGTTCTTGCAAAAGCTAAATATCTTTGATATCGAACCGCACTGCTGCTTGCTATCTAAAATGATGTTATTAGGATGTTGATCGACGCTGCTCTGCTTTCGTGCGCGATCTTAGTTGGGGGACTTGGGGTTTGTGCTGTGGGAACTTCCTAAAAATGATATATCGTCCACGGACCATGGCTTGTTATAGTCAGGGCTTTGAGTTTGATTTGATATGCCCTATTCAGGGGGTTTTGGGTCAATTCTTTGTTATCTATATACATTTTATAAGACGCAAGTAGTTGTACTTGTAAACATGGAAGATTAGCTGTTTTTCTTCTCTCTCTCTCTGAGATTTCACATTGGTGGGAGATGGGAACGAAACATTCTTTACAAGGGTGTNTAATGTCAAGAAAACTATTTGAGACGCTCCAGAAACTTAGAGAAAGTGATGCTTCATACTATCAGCTATCTCATCTTGTTAGACAAGGTGAACAACCTAGAGAAGGCTTCCTCCTCCTAGCAAATCTTGTTGAGGACCAAGTGGGTGGCACGAATAGTTATGTTGATTGGCTTCTACAATTACATCGGCAAGTTCAGCAAAATGCTTAGTACAAGGTGAGGACTGTCTTGCCCCTTGTTGGAGTTCAGTTATAAATCTGTTTCTTTTAGTGAAAGACATGTCTATATAATTTTTTTTTAAAACTTCATTTTCCCTTGGTTTTATCTAATGATTGTGTATTTTTCTTCTTAAGCATGGTCTGGTGAATAATTATTTTAGATGCAAAATAGTATCATGTTTCACAAATGATTTAACATTTGCACCTCATGATCAATAAGAGCTATGTGAATAATAATGGGCTTAGGGGGAATTGGTTCAAGCATGATGTTCACCTGCCTATAATTTCTTGACAACCAAACGTAGTAGGGTCAGATAATAGTCCATGACAATTATTAAGGTGTCTGCAAGCTTGCCTGGAAACTCATATATATAAAAAAGATAAAAACTGCTGCACAGAAAATTTACCAAGAAGATGACCATCGTGCTTAAATTTAATTGGTTTTGGATTTGTTTGTTGCTCTAAATTGCAAAATCCAGTTTAAAAGGTTAATTATATAAGCTTCTCCAGTTGGGAAAATGAAGAGGATAATAATGGAGGAGTGTTCGGAGGAAGAACTCCAGTGGGAAGCAACTTTTTTTTTTCTTTAAAAGAAAAGAAGGGGGAAATTATAATTTATTGATGAAATGTATATTAAAGTGCTGGCTGCAGGGATGCCTCAAAGATTCAAACTAGGAGTTACAAGAGACCTCTCCAGTCGGCTACAATATAACAAAAGTAATTAGAGAGACGAAGTGAAACTCCTGAAGGAGGAAAATCCCCAAATATTTCTTTATTGTGTCCAACTAAATCTCCAAAAATGACACACAAATAATGTTCCTTTCGGCCTGAATTCCAAAATGGCACCCTATGAAAAGCTTACGTAGGACAGTTTATACGCTTCCAAGAAAAGTTCCTTAATTACAAAAAATTATAAAAAAGTTCATAGAACTCAAGCGTGAAAGGAGGCCAGAAAATGAGGTTTGCTGACTCTCCAGGTCCTGGTGACACAAATTCCAATTGGGAGAAATACAATTCTCCCACTTTTGTCTTAGAACAAGATACATGCAGATAAACCCCCTAGGCACACAGGGACCAATGAAAAACTTTGCAGTTCTGGTGTGAGACCAAAAATGCCACCCTGTGAGAAGCATATGACCGCTGTTGATGTGGCCAGAAAAAAGTTTTGTTTACTATTAATTATTATTTACCTTCTTATAAACGGAACAAACTTTTCACTCATTGTAAAGTACAAGTGTGCCAGGAAAAGCTCTTTGATAATTAGAATTTCTAAATTGTTTATGCAAGTTAATGGTTAAAAGATCCAGTCCCAAAAAAAAAAAGAAAAAAAAAAAGGTCTTTTGACTCACATTCCGGTGACGCAGCATACCAATTGGGAGTAAGAAAGATAATTTCCCCAATTTTGTCTTCAAATAAGATATATGTAGATAGTCCGTGAGGTACACAGGGACCAAAAAAAGGTCTTTGGTTTGATTCTTGGTGTATTCTCTACTTAATCTCGTATACTACAACAGTTAGGGGTCTCTTGGGCAGGAACAAATGGAGCTTAGGTAAGGAGGTCCTTTCTATGGAGAGCCCGTACATTGTTATTTTCGTGGAAGCCAGGTGAGGAAGTTATTATCGAGAGCTAGTGGAGAGTCTTTGAGCAAGGAAGAAGGTGGAATGGGCTGATCTGGAGTTGGTGAAGCTTCGAGTGGGATTCATATTCTTTGGGATGGAAGTTTGGCAAATTTGTTGGATGTTGTTAAAGGTGTTTTCTTTTTGTGTCAGGCCTTTTAAGTTCTCGAGGGATGTGATGGGCTAAGTGTCCGAGGTGTTTGAGCCTCCTAGATCTCCAGGGGTAGAAAGTTTTCTGGGATGAGTTGGGAGAGTTTGTTTGGCTAGTGTGGCTCTTGTTGGTGTTTGGCAAGGGATTTTAATGTTATTTGGTCCCCTTAGAAAAAAGTCTCTAGTGAGAGGGAGACAAGATCCATGTGGCTGGGTGTTTGAGGTGTATAAGCCTCCTAGATCTCTGGGAGTCGGCAAGTTTTCTGGGATGAGTTGGTAGGGTGTTTTGGCCACTGTGGCTCCTGTTGGTGTTTGGCGAGAGATTTTAACGTTATTAGGCCCCTCAGGAAAAAGGCGTCTGGTTGTAGATAGACAAAATCCATGAAGCAATTTAACAGTTTCATTGAGTTGTGTTATCTCATTGACTCACCTCTTGTATGACATATTTACCTGGTCACATGGTGTGGCTTGTAGTAGAATTGTTGGATGGGTGCTTTCTTGATTGTGAGACCGACCTTGGGGCCTAGAATTAGTGTTAGGTCACTTGTTTTGATTCTGTCTTTCCAAAGTGGGGTTTTTTCTCCTTTAGGGTAAAAATGTGGCTGGTCCATTTGTCACTTTAAGTTCTCCCTTCCTAGTGGCCGGTGGAGTTTCTGGAGAGGTGGAAAGGTTTCCATTTTATGGGTAAGCTTTGGGCAGGGGCTCAAATCTTGGAATTGCGATCATTGGGGATTTAAAGATTATGAAGCAAGAGGTGTGGGTAGGCCTAAGGCCCTGGATCGCATTGAGGGGGAAGTTTATATAAAGAGGCACTTCAGGAGGCACATTTCTCTCTAAAAGTGAGTTTGAGGAGTTGGATAGGAGGGAGGCTTGAGCTGAAGACAGAAGACCAAAGTGAAATGGGCCTGGAGACTGCAATGTTTCTTATTTTCATAGGGTAGCAAGGGAAAGAAGTAAATGTTTCACTTCTCAGCTGGAGAACGATGGTGGGAAGATGTTGCATGGGGATAAAGAGATTGGGGAGGAGGTTTTTTTTTCCTTCTCTCTCTACACTCTCATAGCTATTCCTCAACCCTTTGGGGAAGATTTGGATTGGAGCCCTATTCTATTTTTCACAACAATGTTGGCTTTCCCCTTCTTCCTGGGTGAAACAAGAAGTTGTCTTAAGACCCTTGGTCTCAACAGCTTTCTAAGGCATTTTTTTTCCCTGCTCGTCTGAAGGACGATCTTTGGAAGTTATTATTGAGTTATATGATAGAGGGGTTTTGGATAATTTTTTGAATAGAACTTCCTTTTTGCTTCATCACAAAGAAGGGAAGGGTGGGGTGGATAGGAACTTCTAATCGATCAGGAACTTCAATAACCAACAAGTCTAACCGTTGAACCAACAACTAACTAACAAGAGGAAACTAGCAAAGGATAACCATTTAGTCTGTTCCAGTCTTACCCTATCTCTACTTTTTGTCAATGTTTGGGATCCTTGGTTCAACTACTAAGATATTTGAGAAGCTTATGAAGGATTTCTTATTGGGGGTGGGGAGGGGAGGGGGTTGAGGAAGGGAAATTGTCTCATCTGGTGAGGTGGGAGGTGGTGAAGAATTCGGTGGATCTCTGGGGATTAGACTTGGGAAACTTAAGGGCCCAAAACAAGGCTTTTCTGGCTAAATGGTCGTGTTATTCTCTCTTGAGTCCAACACCTTATGGTATAAGATCATTGCAAGCAATATTATATTGCCCTTTTGATTGATCATGGGTGAGGCTATTAACACTTCCAGAATTCCGTGGAAGAGCTTCCTTTCTTTTTCTCAACTCGTTCTCTGTTCAACAGGTGGTGGTAGAGATATCCATTTTTGGAGGATAAGTGGTTGAGATATAGCTCCTATGAGGTTTCATTCGATGGTAGTTGTCCCTTTTCATTGGGGAGCTCTCTTTCTCTTTCGTTGGAGTTCTGACATCATTTATCTGATAGGAAAACGACGGATTTTGTAGGCCTTTTTGTCTTCAAGGAGGAGTTATGTTTCAATTTTGACAGAAGGGATGTTTCGTATTCGAGTTCTTCTGAGGGTTTTTCTTACTGATCTTACTTTTGGTGTTTGGTAAATCTCTCTTTTGTGAATGGTTCTGTCTGAGAGATGAAAATGTCCAAGTAGGTTAAACCTTTTTGTTTGTTTTGTGGCAGTTCATTTGTGGAAGAGTGAAACGTTGGATCAAATTTAAGTTGCTTAACTTGATAGGGCTAATTTGTCGTATCGTTGACATTAGGGGAACAAATCAAACCAGAAAAATCGAGTCGACCGACTTCAGTCGATTGGTTTTATGACTTATGCTTATGCGGTCGGTGGGTGGTTGGTGTGCACAATTAAGGCTCAAACTAACGGACCGATTGACTGTCATATTTTAAAGGTAAAAAATAATGTTTTAATAGGTAATGATTACCTATTTAAATTAAGTTTTAATATGTTTTTAACTTTCCCCCTCTCCTTCCTATGGTTGGCAGCAACTTTTCTCTTCTCTGAAGTTCCACCAACCAGCACAGTCGCAGCCCAACGGACCAACTTTCCTTTTCTCCCTTAGGCTGTTCTTGTTTCTCTTTGGAATCTAACTTTCTTGATGTTTTTATATAAAAATAAAGAAATGATCAATACCAAGAAACGAGTTTCCCAGTCAAGCCATTGTAAAGCCCTGTGATTCACCGTGGAAGTTACCAGTTTTTTTTGTATCAAACCTTGACACTCCTATGACCTCCTTTACGTCGAGAACTCTACTTAAACTTAGATTCCACCTTAGCATCCTTAAAATTCCACGAGATGAAACTACTTTTGCTACAAGGAGTAAGTTGAAAAGGCCTCGGGTGGGGAGGAGGCATGCTCATGCTGAGTATCTTTGTAAATTTTTTTTCCAGAATTTCTTCCAAAATTTATAAGTGATCAAATTATTTGTGAAGAACCAATCTTTTAGAGCTAGCATATGAGAATTGCCCATGAGCCAACTTGTCACGTAAATCCCATACATGCTATTGGTCAACATATGCCATCAGAAAGTAGGTTCATTCAGAAGTCTCAAAACCAGTAGCCAGCAGCATAAACAGTTAAAGCCTAAACCTTTCCCATGGGTATTTCACTGTCCTAAAAGTTCTCTTCTTATAGCATTGAGCATATGATCTCAACCATGATCGACCATTTCATCTCAACTGTGAAGTAAACTTATCTGCTTTTTAAAGTTGGAATACGAGGAATGATTCCCTTTTTATCTTTTTTTAAATATTTATACTTTTTCTTGTTCTTTTTTGTTTTCTGACAAAAAGGAGAATTATCGACATCATCAATGGTAAATGTCCTTCACCAGGCCAAGGTAGAGTTGAGCTATCTAGGTGAGCGTTAGGCAACATAATTCACTCTACTTTGGCCTGGTGACCTGGTGACCTGGTGACCTGGTGAAGGCAATTGCTGTTTTAAAGGATTGGTGTAAAAATATAGTTCTATTATGGCATATCCACTTCTTGCAATTTATTTTTACTGTTCTGGGCCTTGGTGGCTGAAAATTTCAGATGACTTAGCTCAATTTTCTTATCAACATGGAATCATAGTTATCGATTGTGTTCGTTTATGAAGTTCATGTATTGGGATGATGGATGATGAAACAATTTTGCATTGCTCAAGGAAAAATGTTTAATCATTGTTACGTGACCAATGAAAGCCATATGGTTTCTTTCTTTTAATGCAGTTCTTAAATTTAGCAGGATAGAATTTGGCATAAGAAGCGTGTTGTCTCGAAAAACAATGGAAGATTTTACTGGACGCCATGAGATGAATTTAGCTTCGACAACGGGCTCCAGGAAGCAATGTGGATTTGGATTCGGCTGCTTCATAAATTTGTTGCCAGATAGATTATCTGTCTTTTAACAATAATTTTTGCCCTTCTTGAGAGGTTGTCACTGTTATAGGGATATATACATAAGATGTTATTTTATTTTTCTTAATATATTGTGTTGTCTATATGTCACCCCTAGATTTGGGTAGAATTGTTGCAAGAACATTGGCCATTTATTTGGATTTTGTTTGGTTATTCAACTTTGATTTTGGCATGGTTTTTCTTGAGGTGGGTGGTTGTTTGAAGGAAGCTTTGTAATTTTACAACTTGATCTAGAAATTATATATTGTTCATTCTTTTCAGCCACATTTTAATGTATGATCTCAACTGTTTTAGGCATCTTTCCTCTTGTCTTGCGTTCCTTGTCTCGACCCCTGTTTCGTTGCTCTTTTGAATGGACACTTGGGAGCCTTTATACAACCGGCATTGTAAAGGTGTTGGATAGTTCTTTTGAGGGTAATGTCAAGACAACCCCCAAATGGTTGCGCTTAAATTTTTGTCGGCCCTCCACGGAAGGTCGACCCAAAGGAGATAATAGAGAGACATAACTCACTCTACTTAGGCTTGGTGAAAGGCAATTGCTGCCTTAATGTGGTGTTACAAAAATATAGTTTTATTATTGCAATTTATGCTTACTTTTTAAGGGCTTGGTGGGTGAAAATTTTAGATGACTCCACTTTGATGGCAGCGGACTTGCGATTGTGCAGCACTCACTTCCCAGCAACAAGTGAGTTAAGCCTATTCGTTCTTGTGTCGCCTACGGCCAAGTGACGTATGCTCGAGCCTCTGGCTCCGATTCAAGAAGAAAATGAAAATTTTAGAAAACGGGGCTAGAGAGATTTTGAAAGAGAGTTCAATAACGGCTTATTGCATATAACTATTGAGTAGGAAGAAGTTGACAACTAGTCATACCTCTCTGTATACATTTTGGGGCATTTTAGTCCTTGCAGATGTAGACACGATTTTGGTGAACATAAGAAGTTGACAACTAGTCATACCTCCCTGTAGTACATTTTGGGGCATTTTAGTCCTTGCAGGTGTAGACACGATTTTGGTGAACATTCATGCACCCTCATACTGACTAAATATGGAATGGTAAAAGGGGTTTGGAACGGGCACGTCCTAGACAAGCAAGATCAGGATATCTATCATGCGGCCATTGACAACACGCCTTGGACATGCATGACCGTGACATCCTCCCCCACTCAATTGGTTGACGTCCCTGTCAACTGACCCGAACAAACAAGACTAGAATATTTGTCATGCGGGCCATAAGCAACATGCTTTGGACAAACATGATCATGAAGGTGAAACCAGAAAGATCTTCACAACCCCTATTGAAGGTGAAACCAGATTCTTGTTAAGGCCATTCAGTTCGTAGGAAGTAAGTAGGTCTAAGACCTAATCTTCACGTCTTTGTATTTCTCCTTTTGGTTTCATGCAAATGTTGGCCTTCTGCCATTCCCCACCTCTACATTACTTCTATTTCTAGACATCAATTTGCTCCTGTCTTTTCAATTTTCCATTTTTAGCCCCATGCCTTACTTTCCAAGGGACCTTTTCGCTACCTTGAAAGGATGCCTATTATTGTAATTTCATATGCCAAAATTAAAAAGCATCATTAAGTGTTTCAACTACGATGAGACGATCACATACGATAATTTAGGAAGCCCTATACCATACATCCTACTGCCTCGGGACGACTGCACGTTAAATCATAGTAGCACGGCAAACCCGTTGGGCGTTCCTGCAAAAAATAGCCCTTGACTCGAGAATAAAACCTATGAAATGACAAATATGCCCTTGCATGTTAATTGAGTTGTATTGGTTTTGAAAGGATGGGAAAAGGAATCAAATAGCCTTTTTTTGGTAAAAGGAGGTAAGAGGTGAAAGCAAAGGAAGGTTGAATGGTGAGAAGAAATATATTAATTAATTAATTAATTTCTTAATTAATAATTAATTTCTTAATTAATAATTAATTTTGTAATAAATAACTGAGAGGACACCTATTTGGCGCATTATAGCACATACCACAACATTGCAATAAACTAAAAACTCTCCCTTTCCTTCTCTCTCTCTCTCCTCTCTCTCTCCTAACGAAAAATCCAAAAGGGAACACCCTGTTCTTCGCATCGCTCGCCCTACAAACTCTCTTGCGGATCTCACCCTTTGATTTTCACCCGTTTTCTCCTCCATGTCTCCAAATTTAAGATTCGATCGGTAACGAGTTTCTTCTCTTTATTATATTTTCAAATTTTTTCTTGTTTTTTTTTTTTTGTTCTTTCAATGGCTCTTCTTTACCTGGATCGTGCTGTTCCTGGGTTGGATCATTTCGAGTCATTTTTCTGGATCATCCACTTGTTGATGTTTTTCTTTCTCTTATGCTTTTCTCTTCGTTTGTCGTCCTATGATTGTTGCAGCAGTTTCCGACGGGATTGATGCGTTAATTATCAAATATTGTATATATTCTATTTGATTTCCTATGACCGAGTCTTTAGCTTCGAGTTCTATTCCCCTACAGATTGTGTGGTTTTTTCTCCGATTACTGTATATGTTGACCTATGCCCCTGTTTCTGCTCAGATCACATTTTGTTTCTGTGGTGGATTTCTTGAGAAGGTTCTTTTACCGTTTAGAGTTGGTTTGGATGAAAAGGGTTTGAGCCAAAACTATTTAGACGCTTGAGAATGAATAGATATGAACACCTTTTGGGTCCTTGGTTTCATTTTCTTCAAAATGGTCAACGAATATAAAGCTGACCATTCTGTGGATTCATGTGCCCGAGTTAGCGTAGTGTTTTTCTTCTGGGTTTTATGAGTTGAGAACATCCAGGAAAGTGCAGTGGGATAAACGAAGTCTAAATCGTTTTGAAGCAAGAGTTATTCTTCCAAACCAGGGTTAAATTGTTGATGAGATCATATATTAATATTTCACAGATATTGTGACGAAAGGATTGAGTAATGCGGTAGATGTTATTGGAATGAAGGTATGTGAACAAGTTGGCTTATCTGATTTCATATGAACAGGTGAATGATTAGTTTTATAAGGATCATTCACTGAAGAAAGCTCGCGGAAATTTCAAGAAATGGCTTCTATGGGTGTTGTTTCTACCTCAAGTTTGAGAGAACCAGCTGGTCATAATGCTGCTGGTGTTGATAGGTTACCCGAAGAGATGAATGACATGAAAATTAGAGATGACAAGGTATGCTTGCATCTTCTTATGCTCTTAAGCTTCATTTCTAATCGTTATCATTTACATGAATTAGTTTTCATATTCGTTCGTGTTCTTTTCCATGGGTTCTCATGTGTTGAAACAATGACATAGGAAGTGGAAGCAACTGTTGTCGATGGCAATGGGACAGAGACAGGCCATATTATTGTGACAACAATTGGTGGTCGAAATGGCTACCCGAAGCAGGTATGAAATGCATAATATTCAATTCTTCCTTTTATCACCTTCATTTTAAGAATATCAACTGTCTGAGTGGGCTGACCAACATTTTCTAGTGTGAAAGTTCTTGTAGATTGCATGATCATCATTTATATCATATGCTGGTCATTCCTCTCTGTTTCTAAGTCTGAGATTCATTATACATTTTGTATTTATGTCTTGAATTTGAAATATAAATTGTTATGTAGTTGGCCTGGATTCTATACTTATTATCGTTAGTCGTTGTTTGTTGTGCCTCTAATGGTACTTGGTATTTCAATGCAGACAATCAGCTACATGGCAGAACGTGCTGTCGGGCATGGATCATTTGGAGTTGTGTTTCAGGTAATGTTTTCCCCAGCTGATGGCAGCCTTTTACCTTTTATGTTTTTAAAAAAAATTACATTTTCAGGTTTTTTCAGATATCGGGGATGTGTACTTTGTGTATGCCTTCATCACTTTCTGTATCTTGTTTAGGCAAAGTGCTTAGAGACTGGGGAAACTGTGGCTATAAAGAAGGTTCTCCAAGACAAAAGGTACAAGAACCGTGAGCTGCAAACTATGCGGCTTCTTGATCATCCAAATGTTGTCGCGTTAAAGCATTGCTTCTTCTCAACCACCGAAAAGGATGAACTGTATCTCAACCTTGTTCTTGAGTATGTCCCGGAAACAGTTCATAGGGTGATAAAGCACTACAACAAGTTGAATCAAAGGATGCCACTGATCTATGTAAAACTTTACATGTACCAGGTATTGTTCTTCTGAATATCTTTTCAATAAATGTAATGTTGGCCAGTTAGTTAATGATATTGAAAGTCTACATCATGCGGAATAAAGATGGTGTTACCCATTAGCGGTGCGGTGTACATTGGTTAAGTTTTACATCTCTCTCTAAATAATATTCTCACAGATCTTCAGAGCATTGTCATATATCCACCGTTGTATTGGGGTGTGCCACCGAGACATTAAACCTCAAAACCTTTTGGTAAGCTGAGAAAAGCAAGAGTTATGGTTCTCATTATTTGCTCCTGTTACCTATGTACATAATTTGTTTTTTTTTTTTATCCATTTATGCAGGTGAACCCACATACTCACCAGGTTAAACTATGTGATTTTGGGAGTGCAAAAGTCCTGGTATGTTCTTCCTTTTCACGAAAAAATGATCATTTGGGCTTTACTGTTGTCTGACCAAGTAGATACTATTATCTTCATTTTGATATACAGGTGAAAGGGGAGCCAAATATATCCTACATCTGTTCAAGATACTACAGAGCTCCCGAGCTTATTTTTGGAGCTACAGAGTATACTTCAGCAATTGATATATGGTCTGCAGGTTGTGTTCTTGCTGAGCTATTGCTTGGTCAGGTAGTTGATTGCGTGTGTTTGCTATTTTGAATTTTTTTTTTTGTATGAGTTTTCCTAAAGATTTATTTATTTGTATCAGCCTCTTTTTCCTGGGGAGAGTGGAGTTGACCAGCTTGTTGAAATCATTAAGGTAGTTTTATTGGATGACACGAAACCGCTCTTTTAATGTTGTGAGCGTGAGGATATTTACATTTTCCCTCCGGGTTTTTTACTTCATCCTTACTGGTTTTGTAGGTTTTGGGCACTCCTACCAGAGAAGAAATTAAATGCATGAATCCCAATTATACAGAGTATAAATTCCCTCAAATTAAAGCCCACCCATGGCACAAGGTAATTGCATGTGGAAATGTTGTATGCATATGTAGTTATTTGTTGCTTTTTCTGTACCATGTATTTAAGCATTAACTTATCATGCAGATATTTCACAAACGTATGCCACCGGAAGCTGTTGACCTTGTGTCTAGACTATTGCAATACTCTCCTAACCTAAGGTGCTCAGCGGTATGT